ACAAGCCATTAGGTTCGAGCTCCTTACAAAGTTGCAAAGATTACAGGCATTGGATGCAATTAAGCGTGTGTTAAAGAAAACGAAATTATTGTTCAATGACACGTTTCCAATTGGCTCGTAGAAAATAATCTGTGCCTAATGATTTGATTTACGGATAGCTTTCAATTTTTATATTTGTCTACTGACATACATCTCCGGCTACAATCGTATACTTCTTAAATTACCATTAATGGATGGATGTTTTTCCAGTAATTTATTTTTATGAGGGTTTCTCTTTATTTTAAAGATCAAGGAATTCTGTTGACTTTCTTCTTAAGTAACGAATTATTGGTTTATTTAGAATGCACGCTTATGTTTAGTTAAAAAACTGTATAGTTTTGAATTTATGTTGTTCTCATTGTTACAAAGGAACCAGTCAATTTTGTTTGCTATTTGAAGTTATTTGTTTGTTCAATGTCTCGAGTTTGTTTAATTACCTGCAATTATTTTTAAATATGTTTGTTATCAACATCATTCAATAGTTATCTAATCTACATATTATTTAAAAAAATCAATGATCTCATTCTGATCGATAATTTTTTCAAGGGATTTACCCAATAATGTTCTTATAAATTGCAAGTAAAAGTCTGCTGAGTAACGAGTAATTTCTGACCTTAGATTTTTGTGCAGTGATCCGATTTTAACATCTGAAAACAGTTTCGCTACTTTGTAAACAAAAAATATAACAAATAAATAATTGAAATTGCAACAGTAACCTCGAAATAATCTAAATTGATACACAGACATACTTGTAAAAGCATAATAATTTAAAACTATGAAACAATATTTAGAAGCCTCCAAATAAACTTTTAGAAATATGTTAAAAGAGATGGTCAATGTTCTGGCAACAAAAAGTGAATTAATAGGTTACAATATTAACTTTTCATTCAACTCAAACACACAGTTAAGCGACTCTTTAAGCTAAATTTAGCATAATGTGTAGTAAGTAAGCACTTTGTTTAGCATTTTCAATTTTAACATACTATTTTTAGGAGTTTGTATTGTGGTAAACTTGTTTTTGTTTAATTAAATATTTATATTTAAGTGTAAACACACAGAAAGTATATGGAATAAGTGTCAACCAATATATTACAATTACTTCGTTAAATTGCTTAGAAGATATTTTATTGCCCTTATTATAATGCATAGCGCGAACTACTGGTAGATGATATATGAAGAATTAAAATTCGCACCTTACAATCTTAAACGACCATATAATCAACAATTTACAATATTTATAACGTGCATATTATCTCCAATCTCCAAGCACGACTGCAGCCGATAACACCTCGTGCATCGTGCACTTTATCACTAATAGCGTCAAACCTCGTAACTTTTGAACTCTTCCATAGAGCCAATTATAGTTCACAGTCTCCTTTCGAATTCGTTTAAACAATAGGTTTTTATTATTAGTACATATTTACAATTTATCGTCTACAAAATGAACAATTTGAGGCCGCCGAACTCGTCACAGCTACCAGGATATACGGCAAGTACCACATGGGTATAGGTAGGGTACCACCTTCGCTTCGACTGTTATCTACGATCGCTCGACCCTGGCTATAAACAAAGAAATCCTTGCAACACATTTTTCCGTTTTCACAATTACAATACGTACCGTTTTCCTGATAATGAACGCGGCAGTGCGTGTACTTTCTCGCAGCGATGGCGGTGCTGATGCAATAACAACACAACCTCAAAACGAGCAAATAGATGCGTTCGACATCGAACGGAGCCGGTTGTATTAGGGTGTGCGTACTTGCATGTTTACACAAAGCGGAAATTAAAAGGCAACGGTCCGTTTGTTATCGCGGACACTCTTATAAGGCATCCTAGTTACTATATTAAACACATTCTTCTCTAATCGATATGCGTATCGTCCGTTTCTGAAGTATGCCGTGAATATTTAGGTTATAATAGTTTGAGTCGTCATTGTAATTGATTCCACACCTCGTATTAAATACATGACCATCCTTTTCCTGCTGTAGAACTCGTGTGTCTATAATTATCAAAAATTAGGTGAACCCAGCTGTGAATAAAGTAACTGTAAATGTACTGACCAAATAAAACAGTACAAATTTTTAATTAACAAACGATTATTAATATACATATCATTATTGTGCTGTTAATGGCTATTATTAGAACACCATTCTATTAATCGATTGAGTTCTCTCATCCTCATCGACATTTCGCAGCATCGGGCATCTCCAATTTAGAACGTCTTGACAGGATCATACATTAAAATCTGGCGTGCCGCAATCCGTTTATTCTCGCTGCGAAATAGAAATTAACTTTATGTAATACCTATAAGAATTACGTTGCTCAATGTTGAAGGTTAGCGACGGCTCAGCGTAGGAGAGCCAGAGAAGAAGAAAACGTCAAGTGAGAGTGATTCGGTTTTACCATCACTCCGGAGGTATTCGGCTAATTAGATATAATTGTGCTGCAAATTAAATAAGAACCGTTAACGGCGCGTAATCGAGAGCAATTGGGAATGAGGTTAAGTTTGAAATGGAAATTCGAAATTCGGTGTTGCGCAAACTGCTACCAGCAGTTGAAAAATCTCGAATATTAATCTCGTTAATTAGTTGGCTATAAATAAACGGCTTATAGTCGAGGAAATAATAGTTCAGTACGACAGGAATAATTGCGTTATGTAAAAATGCGATGTGGTTCCCTTTTCATTTGAAAGTTGTGCTGGTAACGTCTTCAATTATTACTGGAAATATCTGCACAAATATAGAGAATCAATAATTTAGTTTAAAAACCCCTGCTATTACTGTGATTTTAAAATCATTTTGAGAATTATATCTGTTAACCTAATTAGCGTGAAGTTAAATTAGCTGCATTAAATAATGCCTGCGCTATATTTTTAATGACAATGAAAGTTTAATGGTCTAAAATGCTGTTCTGGCGTTTTATCGTTTTTATAGCACTGTCGCTTTCTTGTAAAATGCAATAATTTCACGTCACGCTGTCCCCTTCATTGAACTTAAACACACATTAGCGAAACGACGTATTATTTACTTTTAGAGTATCTAACGACTAATTTGGAGTGGCCTTGATTTGCACATGGAATTATAAAAATTTTGTGAATAACCTTGCAGTAACCTTAATATTACAGGAACTGGTTCAGTTATGTTAATGTCATTGTCGAAATATTACCGTCGAATTAGTTTTAAAACCAGATCATTACGAGGACCAATGTTATTCGAGACCGCTAACAAAATACAGTAATTCCACAATTGAATGATTCCTATGCGAATTATTAATTTATAGCGCGACTGTTATGCAATAGATGAGATAATTTAAATATGTAGACATAACGTAGGATATGCGTGCAATCACGATGTATCAAGCACAAGCGTTTCGATTGAAGTTCAAATCGATCTTTCCTCGCTCGTTCGATCGTCACATCGAATCTATTTCTGGGAATTTCTCCCGCAATATTTAACACGGTGACGTCGACTTTCGCGGAAGGGTCCGCTTCCACTTCCAGAAAGCGTTTCGATTTTCCGCCGGCGAGTTCGAACGGAGCGGTGGAAAAAACGCCGCCGCATCGCCACCCGTCGAAAATGGGTCGCCCTAGAAACCCGGGGGTAAAGCGTGTGTGCGACCCCATTCCCGCTATCGACCTGCGACCTAGTTATTTGGGCAACACGTGCTGCCTTCCGAACTGCATCCCGCGTTTCGAACCTTGGCTCTTGGATTCGACACTAACGGAGAAGGCTGCTGGGGCGGCGGATCCCGGCGATTCGCCGAGAGCAATCAGTTAAAGTTGCGATTTCTTTGATCCGTGTTTGTTGCGTTTTAACCTTAACACAAATGGTAAGACAGAACACTGGTTGATAAATTTACAACATTAATTAATAGAAATTATTTCATAACCGTTATTAATTTGATTTATTTATAATAATATTCTCGCAATATGTACAGTTACTTTTAGATTGAATATTTTGTATAACCGGAAAAATTTTAAATTCAGTTTATTCGAATACGAAATGAGAGTTTTTGAGTAGACACAAAGCGATTACAGAACCAGTTAAACTTCGGATTCAGTTATTTTTTATGCAACAATTAAACTGTCCTCGAATTACATGGATTTTTGGAAACGGTGACGAGCGCCATGACCCTATTTTACCGGAATTGGAACGTTTAGCAACTAAAAGTCCGCCTACCGGTTGAAATTTTGATAATTTATTGACCTGTTATCTGATTTAAAGTATGTCACAGAGAAAAAAATCTATTATTAAGAGCCAATAAAATTCGTTTATTTAAAAATACTGTGCATAATTTGAGGAATTACTATTTCGAAATTACTCCAAACATCAAAACCAATTTTGTGAACATTGAAAAGCGTCGTAAAAAATTGGCAATCCAGCAATTTCGCGGAATGTGGAAATTGTAATTAGCAACAAGACAATGGAGGCAATGTGGAGAAATAAGTATCTCCAATAAGCACCTCACATGCTCGCAGACAATCAATTCCACAATTGTTTGCTTTTACTGGCAATTACCAAATGAGGTTAACCACGAATTATGTTCACCTGTTAGTTAGAAAACACCACATATACGTCGGCAAGACTTTCTCGAACACTTTCGCTCTCACTTTCACAGATAAAATCTGTCTATCGATTGAAAAAAGCTATTACGAAGTTGAGAAGGGAGGTGGCCATGTAACAGTTAACACTATTTAATTTACTTCGTTATGCTATTTAATTTGGTGGAAAATTTCTTCTTGCAATTTGCAATTAATAAGTTGTAACTTTACAATTTTTACTCTTCGAAATAATCCTGCATGTAGCGATATTGAATTGATTTCCTTAACGTCCAATTCTGAAAAGAAACGGATTAAAACATAATTTTGAACTTTCAATTTCAATAATTGATTGCAAAAAATTAATTGTTAAAAAGTATTCGAAAATTGTATGATTTACTATGTAAATTCTTTATTGTTTCAGGTACGTTCATTTGATAACTACGATTTTCAAATATCGGTGAGTAAACATACATTATGCACTGCAAAATATGTCATTAAGATACTTAATGAGAGCAGGCAGTTACAATTTTCATGCAAATCTAATTTTGTTTCTTTTTTAATATTATTAATTATCATTTTATTATTTTTTTCAACTTTCTATTACCTATAATTATTTTTAACAACTTCAATTTAAAATATTCATTTCATTTTAAACACCTTCTGTGGTACTTACTTGGTTTTTTCGAAAAATCTTCAACAGAGTGTTAAAGAAGCATTTAATGTTAAAAAACTGGTGTTCTTAAGTTTAATGAGCCATTTTGCTAAATTTATTACTTTCCGTTCCATCAGCAGTACCGGTTTTTTGCAATTTCCCCCGGTTGATTTATCTATATAATCTTTTGTCTTGCGATCCCAACAAGCTTTTGCTTGCGTCGACCCAAATACGAATGACCCAAATTGGAAAGCCCAGGCTTCCTAGATTTCTAGGTCAGCGTATCCGCTGCGTGCGAAACCTACGGGAGTCGCTCGAAAACTCATTAAAAAAAACAAAGAAAACCTTTACAGATCTATAGAGACTCATAGATTTAATGCCTCGCATGGTGGAAGTTTCGAATTTTTCGGCCTAGTTTTGGTTTAAAAATTTCAAAGAAAATTACCTCCGTAATTTCGTAATTAAACGATTATTTTACTTTGCGTCGGGATAATTATACGTCTACTCCCAAACGATATCGAATACTCGGAATACGTATTAACATAACGTATGTAATTACGTCCAGTAACTCGAAAAATCTCGCTGAGGGAAAAACCGAGAAATACAACCAACAATTTAAAATAACTAGAAATCTGTTTGGATCGGGTAAATTTTTTATTCGGGATTTATTAATTACGTAAATTGACGCTTTAATGATTGAGTGTTAGTTTTTAACGTAACGTTATCTATTACGCACTTTTAAATTTCTGATTAAAATTAAAAAAGTGTTCCAACACGCTGGAAATTTAATTAATACACTGACAGTTGTAATTAATGCCGAATGAAAACAGCCAGAGACATTGAAATAAGATCAAACAAACGACTTTTGCTTTCGGTGAACTTCATCATCCATCACATTGCACAACAAAAGCCATCGGAATCGCAACGCATTTCGTTTCGTTTTGAATTTTGCTGCTTACCGTTGCGACCTAATTGCGAGGCGACTACTGTTCCGACTAACGGCACCTGTAAACTTAACTGTTCATTCTCGTTTGTACTTTTTATGAATCATAAGTACGCCTCGGTTTCGCAAATTTCAATGGCCAACGGAAATCAGAAGAATCGACAATGAATTCGCGAGTCGTACATACATAGGTGGAGTTCAAATTTATTTGGCTTTGATGGGAGATTCTCCTTCGGCCCCCGTAAATTTCACGAACTCGCGTTTCGTTCGCATTGCATTGTTGCGTAAAAAGCGGTGAAATCCAGTTAACCCCACCTTCGGAATTTTCGACACCAATCAATACATCGTGCGTCCTAAAATACCGAATACTATGTGTCACTTAACACTCGGGTCAAGGAAGTAACCGTGGATTAATCTGACCTTACTAGGCCATTAATTCTGAAATATATAGCATGGCGCTTGTTCCTCCTAGTAGCGTTACCACGGCATATTACGCATTCATGACAAGGGCGGACTCGGTGGTTAGGCATCGCACGTGAGAACTTTCCATGGTTCGTTAGCAATTTTTTGATTAGATTAAAGCGAGGAAGCGTAATTATATCGTACAGTTATAATGCTAGATTGATAGGAATGATAATTCGGTAGTTGGTCAATTTTATTTACAACTTATAGATACATCTTTTATATGAACACACACGCTACAACTCGCCGGTAATTATATTGTTAGAAGGACAAATCTATATAGAGTTAAAATGTACCGAAAAGTAGTACAAACTTCTTGAATTACTTCTCATTAAACAGTTAATTCCCGATACAAAATTTTAAATATCCCGTTCTACTAAAATTCTGCACCTAAATCGATAAAAATAAACCGAATCCGGGCGAAAAACTGGCCAAACTGACGTCGATCAACGCCGACGCGCCGCCACGGACAAGTACACGCGCATTTTCCTTTCGTCGTGCCACGACCGCGTCCATTTCGTAATCTAAAAATGTGCCGGCGTCCACCGGCGAACCGGCGGAGGCGGCATTGAATCCATCGGAATAATATTTGACGTCATACTGCACAAACAAAGGCGTGCGTCGACGCCACAGCAACGCGTCTCCGTTCCCACAGCTGACGGAAAACGCGATTCATATTCATAGATAGTACATGAGCTCGTTGCTCGCACAACCGAACGAACCCTTTTCCATCGGAGTTAATGGCAGTGCGGGTGTTTGTATTAATTTTCATTAAGAAAAGCCCGAGGTATTGGGGAAATTAGTGTTGGAATAAAATGGTCGTTTAAGAGGGGTTAAGGGTAGAATGAAGTAGATGAATTAATTGGGGTTGGGAACTATGAAATGAGCTGTTCATTTATTGTCTACAATATGGATTTTGTATACGTATAACAAGCAACTGCTTGATGTAATCTCTATCAGTATTATCCAATGGTCCTGCAAGTTAACATCTAACTTTCATATCTTCTCATACACTAATATGTCCCTTTGTCGTCTTATTAACTTTACCTAACGTTATCTTCTCAAATAGTCCAGATGAAAAGCGTCATCAACTTTTTTGATGTGCAATTTGTAACATCTTATCTGCATACGCAGACCTATTAAATTCAACCATTTAGCGGGCTTAATTGTTACTTAATTACACAACTGTAATTGCATCACAATATAATCTAATATAGGTACTCCTAGATGATCATTTAAAATGAAACATCTGCATCCACATATCTATAAAAAAACGCTAAACCAATTTGTTCATTACAATAGCCCAATGCTACTATCATACAGTACGTGTTTTGGTGAAATTTCGTTATACGGTTTGATCATCGCGGTTGCTATAAGACATACCAATAGCGTTGATGATCGGTTAACGCTCACGCAAATTGTTCTATGACGCGGTAACAGTGCGAGCAAAGCTTTGCAAACCACTAATTTTAGCCGATTACGGGGGATGTCGAGGGTTGGCGAGTAGGTGGATGTGTGATGACGTTGGTGGCAGATTAAAATTATAATAACCGCAAACATGAACGGCTTGGTGCCTTGGTATATGGAATACAAAACGTTTTCGAGATGTAATGCATCCACGTGTTTTCCAATAGACTGCGCTAGCCCGCTTGGCGACCAAGTTAAATGTGTATTGTTTGACCTTTGCGAGAACATGCACTACTGATCGTAAAAAATATGGTTCGTGCAATTTTGCGATAAAGCGTCCGACTCGTACGCGCTTTTTATAATTGTGTATTGTTTTATTATTACATCAGCTGGACTTCAGACAATGCGAAATTACGGTAGGATTTTACTCTGCAATTACCAGCACAAGCATAATTCAATCGCATGACACGTAACGTAAAATAATATAATCTTTTTAATGTTGAATGTTTCGATTATTTTTTTCAAAAGAGTGGGTTTATCGACTTCGGTTATTTTTTGTATTTTAATATGATCATCTGAAACGCCTATTTAAGTTGAGAAGCAAATCCCTGTCGAAGCATATGCAGCATACATATTACATTTTTGAATCACTAGGTGTACGCATTGATTATATTTCGAAATAATCGAATCGTAAAAAATAATCTACTTAGAATAAGAGACTAGATATTATGAAATAATGAAAAACCGCATTATCATCCATCATGCTATTACCAGCCTATTAAATATTCATTCATTGCATAGCAGCAAAACAAAAGTCGTTTAATTATTGTCGATAACATTATACCAAGAGCATTTATGTGGTGTATACAGTGAACGTGCGTCCCGCTATGAAATTGCCTTTTTGAGTTTTTGCTATAATGGTAGGTAAGGTAAAAAAATATTAATTCGATGACAAAAAGAGTTTTTATACTTTCGTTTTGCGCGATGTCCCAAATTTTATCAACCTCTCGATAATAATTTAAAGAACAATATGGCGCGGAATGTTATCAATTTTCTGATGAACCGAGCGTGCGATTCCCATTAACCGCTGAATTAATTGAATCAAAACGCACGAAATCGAATGCTTCGGTAATTACCAAACACTGCGATGCACATTTTATCATTTATTGTTCGTACGAATGTACGGGAAGTCGAACGTTTTAAAAATAAATGCCGGGTATTATACAATTTTTATTCGATAACGAACGTTTCGGTTAATCTCCGTTCGACGAAATGAAATGTTCTCGGCTGGTTCTGTTTAACGGGCTTGAATATCAGTGATATGATAATGCGGCGTCTGTGACGATAAATGATGTCAACGAAATTGAATTTGTCTCACTCCTGCCAGTGTGGATTTCCTTACAAACAAATGAGAATTTCCTGAAATATGTATTAGTGTATACCTATAGTTTTGAAGCTATTATTGCGCTACATTTTCTCAGTTTATTGCTGTAATCACACTATAGGTAATATTGATTTTGCATAATATTAATCGAATTTTTAATTAGATCGTTAAGTTTGTATGTGTGTAATAGATAAGAGAAGCCTTGTCAATTTTTATGTTTTTCGTAATACTTTTTCGTAATTTTAAAATGTATTTTATATATTTTTTTTTTGTTGTAGGCTCCTTTCGAAGTGCAAAAACGTTTGGAGGAAGTAAGGCTCCTGGAATCGAGGAAATCTGCCAGATTAGCCGATCAGGACACGGATTTTGCTCGCCTGGCCGACATGGCAGGAGACAGGAAAAGAACTGCCTCGCACACCATTGACGTCCCAGCTCCGTCATACCATCACGGGTACGTTGAGAACCATTCTACATAATTATTAATTCGAGAAATTTCCGAATAATTCCGAATTATATCCGTTGTATCTCATCGAACGTTGTGAAATTAGAAAATATTGCCGATTCGATTTAATAGCGCGTCGAAATTGCAAAAAATTTAACGTGTCGTTTATTGTATCTCGTACCGAACGAAATTGCAATTGCCCGGAGCACTTTACATAACGAATTCGTGCGAATTTTTTTTAATATTTAAGAAACAAACACAATTGTTCCTTTCTAATGCCCATAAAAAAGAGCCGCAGTGAAAGTACCGAGGTGGTCTTCAACAGAATGATATTTACGATTAAAATCTGGGTCGTAAAAGCGATAGTTATTGAACTATTTTTATCATTACTTCCTCACAAAAAATATAATAGATAAATAATTGTTACGCTTACTCTAACCATAAGAATAATAATTGCAGTACTCGTTTTCTGTTCGCCTGGTGAAATATAATGAAGGTGGATTAAAAATTCACTTAAACCATGATTATCGTAAAAATGCCTTCAATACGCATTTCCAGTAATGTATTCCTGTCTGCAACAGATACTTGACACCTTACACTGACAGGTCATTGCCTTGAATTCGTTAAAACGGTCGGTCTATCGACCTGTCTGACTCCTTGTTTTTAATATTCAACCTCCAACAACGGTGATCTAATAACCTCTGATTTCCGAAAAAATAAAATCGATATCCATGTTCGGGACAAATTAATATTTTAACGTTGAGTCGCCGGTATTGATCGTTTCCAGTGTAGGTCAAGCAAGAACATTTTTTATGCGTCTACATCATTTAGGGTAAATAACTAGAGCACTTGTGGGTTCAAATTTTAATGTTTTATTTTTGGGAAAACTATTGCTTTCGCCAGATTTTTAGTTGATGCTTCGCCGTAAACACACACTGATTCAGAATTTGGGATGCTTACCAGACGTTTTCATCGGCATGAATCACCCTCGAATTTGGCTGGCTTAACGATGATGCCAGCCTACGCCACTGACGTGAACAACAGATAGTTACATAACACAATTTTGTACTTACGTTCTTACGATGTAAATAAACCTGAAAAAATATCGGAACGTGCAACAGATGGTTAGAGATCGCTTTGCAAAAGCGGTTTATCGCGTATCAGAAAGTGAAAACGACATTTTTTGAAAGGCACGTGAAAATAATGCATTTATTCATATCTATCTAATTTTATATTAGATATTGTATTTATATTGCTAATATTAAAAAGCGATATTTTGATTCTCTGATATTTATATACTTTGTTTTAATAATAATTAAAGCATCTCACAATTTTATTAGGTTCATACAAAACACTTTGAACTTATTATAAAACAATCCGTGCGCTTGAATTAAAATCTTAATGAAATAGTTTTTGCGATAGACTTACTACAGGAATTTAATTTAAAATGCTTGCGGTGTTGTAATTATTATTTGCTCTATTGTATTCATTATAGGAAGTAAGAAAAACCGAAAATAATATTTTGTGTTTATTATAACATCAAAGTTAGTTACAGTAAATTCGTGATAATGCGATGGACGTCCGTCCTAGAATTCTTATCGTTTAATGTGTTTTTAAACAATTTGGACGGTTTTGTTTCGTGTAATAATAATCTAGAATGTTGACCCGAAATTCAGGTAGACGTCGTTTATTGTTTCAATAAAACCAAAATTCAAACCTGCCGGCGGTTCTTCGAACTCTTTAAGGTATTCATAAGGTCAATGAATGTTAATACTCAATACTTCATGCATGATTTTTGATTAAAAAGAACAACCTTAATATATCTTCGGGTACTTATTTCGTTTAATTTCTAATGAATAATCATGCTTTATTGACCACATTCTGTGCCGTTATGGTTGAAATTATCGCGAGTTCTTGCGAGGTGAGTCGGCCCAACCGCGAACGCGTTTCTATTAAAATAGCGGTTTCCATTAGTCATTTATTAACGAAATCTTAAAAATCTTCGCAGATCTCGTAAAAGAAGACCGAGCGGAAGCCACGACGACTGCTCGAAGGACAGTCAAATGGACGAATGCAGCGCTGCCTTGGTCCTCATGAGCCTTTCCTGCTCGCCGCATTCGCCTAATCTATCAGGTAAGCCTCCCTTCGATTCGCATTGACTAAGCGTGTTGAAATTTCTTACTCAATGCCGTATAAAATCGTATCGAAAAGAATGCGTGTGTCGTAACGTCTTCAACGGTGACGCAAGTGTGCACTTGAACAGAACGCAACTAGAACAATTCGATGTGTGTCTAGGTTTTCGACATATTTTTTTCACTTTCTTTTAAGATTCTAATCGGAGACCTCAATTCGATCGTTTTACATTGAGAAAAAATACGCCGAGATATGGGTGGATTTAAATCGTTGTTATCTCGGTTATTGTTCTTTTTTTATGACGTCTATTTCCTCATCAGGAAAAACGTACGAGGGTCACTTTCACAATAGAATGATCTGTGGGTATTGTCCTTCAATTTCGTTGAATTCGAGCGTTTTATTTTCGAATGTGAATTCCGAAGAATCCCGTATCAAATATTGCGGGATGTTTTGAAATTAAACGCGTAAATTTTTGTGTGTGAAAGATAACAAAGCGTTTATAAACTCAAATTCGACGAATGTACTACATTACAAACTTATAAACATACGCAACCGTACGCAAAAAAAATAATAAATTCCATGGTCAAATAGTTTAAAAAATAGTAAACAGAGTTATACGCATAAATATTTATGCTTCAAATCTGTGTATAATCCATACAATAGTGCCTATAATTATATTTTAACATCGATGAATAATTTTGGATAATATCTATTTGAATTTTTTAATTATTATTTTCCTCCATCTACTCGTGTTTACTACTTTTTGCTCTATTTTATGATTTAAAATAGGCATATTAATGCTTTTGTATAATAGGTGTAATATTGCTCTAATATTACATAATAATATTTTTTGTTAATACCCATAAGTATACCAGAATTAATACTGCTAGATTTTTGTACTCAAATCAATATTGCTATTTCCACCTACTTCTATATTGACCTATTTATTTAAATGCAAAACGAATACCTACGCTATTTGATTAATTTCCTTTACAAAACCCTATTGTACTGACAACATTGACAGATTGTATCAATATATTGTTGAGTAATACTTATATCACTAAACGTGACTGACCTTTATACCGTTCCCTTTGAACACATATTGGAATTTTGCTTCGGCTTGTGGTCTAGCAAAGGCGAATGCACAATAAATTGGCCTTTTGCTACAGCGAAAATTCTCCGAAACTATGTTTGAGTGGATATAGTTAAGGACTGCTTTGATATACTAGTTAGTGCATCATTTATAGTAGAGAATACTTTGGCTTACCATTGAGTTATTTCCGAGTTTCTCATCATCAGAAAAATTTGTTTTTTATGTCCCTTTCACTTAAAAGTTTGATTACGTCGAAGCTATGGAGAAAATGTAGTTTAGAAACAAATTCAGAATTAATAATAATATAGGATTAAAAAAACTACAAACTTGAACTTGACTGAGGACACGCAGTATACGAGTAGCTATAATTTACGCATTATCTTGTGCAGTGTGCAAATTGAATTCGTTTCAATTATCAGGTTAGAATAATCTGTGAAGTGCAATGCCATTGCCAATGCCGAATGCAACAACTATTTTGAAAATTATTTATATGGAATGCTGTATAAAATACTAATATTTTTTATATCAAACGATATTTGGTGTTTTGTAAACATACAACGTTGTTTTCGATAAATATGTAATTACATTTTGTCTGGGAATTAATCAGCAATTAAATATTTTTATTAACAATAATGTACAATACTGATGAATGCAAATTACAGACGGTAATGAGAAATGTTTTTCATTGGTATTTACTGCTGTTTGCTGTAACGTGTATTAAGAAATAAACAGTCCTGATTAGAAGATCAGTCTGATATTTTTCCATTGAACTTGCATGTAATCCGAAAAAATATTTATCGAAATATAAATGCTCAGTGTAAATTTTGAAACGCGCTAAAAACCTGCAATTTGCGAAAAATAGAATAAAAATTGCGCCACGTGCGGACACTCGTGCTAAATGATCCGAAAATTTTTGCCACCGCCTGTTTCGAAACCAATTTTATCATTGCAAAAGTGCAATGTGAAACGTGCAGGTCGCAGTAAAAATATACACGTGGTAGTGGAATCACTGTAGACGTTAATTTATTTTTAATGCTTGCTGTTGCCACTGAGACATTTAAGCACAAATCTAATTGATAGAGCTGGTTTGGCAATAAATTCGAATAAAATTCGTAACTCGTTTTCGGTGATTATTCGAAACGTATACTTATTTTTTCTCTTGGGAATTGAGCAGGTGAAATGAATTCATATTTTAAAATCCGTTACTTAATAAATACGTAATAGATACAGAAATCAATTATTTTAATTAGAAAACAATTAAATTGTATAATTTAAAATTAAAAATGTATTACTTAGTCTCGGTATTTTTCCGGGTTAGTTCGATCCTGCATATTTGCAGATATATTATGTGTAAAAAGCGAATAAATTACCGGCATTATAATCTAATGCATACATGCATAAAACGTTTCTTTATATCTGAATACGTATGTGCAGTCACGTGCATTTAAACGATAAAGCTGATTATTATGTCATTAATCTCACCACTTCTTAGATATCATTATTACTATATTATTTATGAATAGAAAAATTTTACAAAACCTATGTTTTATATTAATAGAGCCAAGTACTTGTTGCTATGGTAATAGGAATTACGATTAGATGTTGTGTTAAAACGAAATTTTCCGCGATAATTTTAATACTTTCTGGATTGTGTTTCTGATGTTATCTTTGTTCCTAATATAATTTAAGAGTTTTGGAGTAAGAACCGGGATTTTATTTTTAAATTGGTTCGAATCTTGAAGTGTGTTCGCCATTTATTCGGTTTTCCTTCTGAACAATTTCCCGCAAGTACACGGCACGTTTTACTGCCTTACGGAACGAAATTGGAATTGAATAAAACTGGAACATAAAGAGAATACGTGCTTAAACACCTGCATAGAATGCAGCGAAGGAAAACACTGGTAGCAACGTCCGTATTTAGCCATACGCACCTTTTCTATCTTCCTATTATTCGAGCAAGCAACTGAAAAAGAACTTTGTTCGAACCGTTCGACCGTTTCCGCGTTTACCAATCAAGGCCGCCGATTAAACCATGTCCTAAATAAAATCAAACGCTGCAATACACGACAAAGAGAGATTCTTTATCTATTTTATCCGTAACGATTTAGGTTACGTTTGTATATGCTTACATGTGTGCATGACTCAGTGGAGTGGCGCGACAATTCGGAGACAAAGGTCTCTTCAGAAAGACTTTAAACTTCCCATATTAGAATTTTCCATGAATTCGGAATGTAGAGCACAAACGAAAATCTGATTTAGAGTACTTTATCCACAAATATTCCAGTTGATATTTGAATAGTAGCAGTTAATATGCTTTTGGTTTTAGCGTTTTCGTATGCAAGTACATCGCCGGGAAGCAGCAGCAGCAGTTCGGCGTCGTACAGATCGACCCCGTCGCCTCCACCCATCGTCTACTCGCCCCAAACCACCCCTTTGTCGTCGAGTTCCGTTTCCGACGAAGGCATCGTCATGGATTACTATCCCGACGAGTTGCCGCGAAAGAAGAAGGTAAGTCGAAGCTGTTGTTGTTGCATAAAAGCGTTACGAAAGGCAAGACATCGTTCAGACGGGTGAATTACTAACGCAAACACTGATAAGATGGTTACATTCGCGTCTAATGAAAAGTAGAATGTCGGTTATCGCATTTTAAAGGTAATTGTCAAGGTACTCGTTAAATTAGAACGTGATAAGGAGGCGGTGTGTTGGTTTTTTTAGAGAAGTTTATGATTGCGTGATTTTTATCTCCTAGTTCAATTACGTAGTAATTAATTTAGTATAAGCTGCGCTATCAAATTTGACATGCCTTTGTCTTTTGCTGGGAGTATATCTTTATTATTTCTTTAATGCTCCCCGAAGAAATTACTTTTATTATAAGAACACCCTAACCCTACCCGACAAGATAATGATAGTCGGATATTACAGGTTGACACGCCAAGTTAATATGTTGTATACGAAATCACGTGGGATCATTATACTGTTATTATTTTGGAATTTATCAAAATTATTCGTGTGTTTTCCAATCGAAATAAATTACGAAAGTTTTCACTTTTTTCGCTGGCGCCTGCGGGTTGAATCATGTTGGCGGGTCATAAAAATTTAGCCATTTTAGCTGGTTTATTATCCGAATTGTGTAGGTACTTACGTCACATTGTTAACCCAGATTTTCGCGGCCGGTGTTGATTTACTTCATACGTGTGTCGTATCCTTTGTATTTGTGCCTTCTAGTGTTTCATTTGATGAGACGTTCAAGGGTCAGTGGTGATTCACTATGTTTACTGGTCGATATAAAATCGAGGTGAATTAGAATAGGTAATGAACTAAATGTAAAGAAAAGGACGTCTGGGCAGGAATGTTTGTCCTTATTGATTTTCAATCGATGTTTATTAGCACAGTGAAATAATTCAGATATCGAATTCCGAGTTACACAGTAGTTATGAAATGAATATAGCTTCCCGGTTTATAACGCCCGCAACCGCGTTAATTACAAGCCAAACCAAACTTTCGTATTATTATCGAATGAGTTCTGTGATTTCTACAGTTAAAAGTCTTCCTGTTATGCAGTGAAAGTGAAGAATCGTCGATAAATACATTTTTATTAAAATCTCTCGTCAGTTGGTCTCGCTTCACTTCATTTTTATGTAATGTTTTTAAAACGATTTCTAGAGAACGGCCTTTTCCAGCCTTGCGAAACGCTTGAATTAAAATGTCCATGCAAATTTTCGAAATTGCTGATTTATGGGCCCGCTTGAGAATGTGAAAGCTGGAAATTTTGAAACGAACTGTAACGCATACGAGTAGACCGTTTAATGTCATCATTAGATATAAATTAGAAAATTAACTTACTTAACCGGCACGTTTATACTTAATTAATATGCCGGTAAAGTTAATAAAATTAAGCTCGGCTTAAAATACTTGTGGCTTGTTTCCTCGCCGCAAATAACGTTAAATAACTTCATTATCAATATATTTTCTTTAATATAAAATTAAGAAAGTGTTTAAAGCGTTTCCAATACGTTATTTTTTTTTTCAACTAATTAACGAAACACTAGCGCATCTTCCGCAATGTTCGTCTAATTTAAAATGTTAATTATTACGATGTTCCCCATCAATCAATCAAAATTTTCTTACCAATTACGCATAAAAAATTTCGTGAAACTTTCATAAGCGTCGTTTTATCATCGCAGGAAATCAAGCCGATTCAATGCCTTCTCTCCCATAATTAAAAACGAGAAGTACATTTTTTCAATGACGAAATTACCGAGATGATTGAAGTTGATTATAAAGAGCAGGCATAGTGTAACCTACTTTTCGACCCCATTATGCGCGCATTTAAATGCCGACGATTTGCATTTTTCTTCGGAGGCGGGGACGAGTCGTATACGGTAATTTAGTAAATATTACCGGCGTTTTATACACTCGCAGTTCTAATAGGAATAGATCAACTATGGCTAGGTGCGGTTTTTAGTAGCACGCAAGTTGAACTTGAAATCAGCGGCGTACGCACATCAACAATGCTAGGAAATAGGTCGCCATTTCCTATAGAAATTTATTCGTTAAATATTTTTTCCTATACATGCAAATGCCGTTAGGTCTAATGAGTTTACCGAGAGGAATTACTGCCTTCCTTGTGTACGAACATAAGTACTTTATTATTTGCTTTATGAAGTGGAGTGGTTTTAAAAAGTTTTGAATGTTGAATAGTTAAACAGGATGGAAGCGCCACTTTCGATTACATCGAACTTTGTTCTGCAAATTTATTTGTATCTTTGTATAGATGGATTGAACAGAAATAACTATTAATTAAACGCCCTGAATACTGGAACATAAACGTATATTTTCCTTCTGTAAACAACCATTTAGCCAAATAATTTCCTCGACTAGCGCAGCGCAAGTGAAAAATAAACATTCGGGTTTTTCGGAGAGGAAATCTTGTGAAAATAAATCGTCGCAAACAACCGAATCGTCCGAAATGCATTTAATAGTATCCAGAATAGCCAGGCCATCGAAAGAAACGTGCTATTATTACATCAAAACTGGTTTCGGTTACCGAAGGCGAAAACCGCTAGATGTAAACAAATTTTCTCCGGTTCAGTTTCCATCCCAACAACGATCGCAACTTCCTGCATTCGCAGAAGCGTTTAGTGGTGGATTTCCATTCGATTCGGAGTCCATTTTTTTTTAATTCGACTGAAAATGTGGGAGTGAAGTAATCGTTTATCGCTTGCACATTCTCGTCTCCATCCGCATCGGAATTGATTGTTGGCTGTTGGCTGCATCAAGGCGAAGTTTGTAATTTGCATAAGCATCGCGTCCACGTCCCGTGGTTAACATTGGCACGTGTAAAACTTTTGCCAAGGTCGTCGAAAATGAGCGATGCTATGCACTATTCCGTTGCGCTGGCGATGTGCGGTGTGCGCGCTCTAGGAGACTCCAACACCACCGCATTCGGGCTCGATCCTTAATAAAAATACATCTCGAATCTCGACGCAAGGAGACTGTTTGGGACAACGGAGTAGTTTTCGATTCGGTAGAGAGGAATCTCGTTATTTTTAGTGAATGATGTACATATATTCCGGCGGTTTTGGACAAAAATGCAGGACTGTTACCAGCAGGAAATTAATTTTATAAATAGTTTTTTTACCTACTACTTAGAAGTTGGTTTGTCGCAGCTTGAATCTACTGCAGAGTTTTTTAATTTCGATTTACCTACTTTTAGTTTTCATTTCTTTATCGAGTAAATTCGAATTTCATATCATACACATTTCGCTTCAAAAACTGAAATTTACAATCATTCAAATGATTTAACATTTTTTTTTATTTTTGTAAACTAAATTGTCAACGTCCAACGATAATTCACATTTAACAAATTTCTAATGATCACTTCACACCGATTTGTTTAGTGCTTTACAGATTTCAGTAAACCGGTGCTTTAGACAAAAATCTTGACAAAAAAATTAAAAGGCACTCCCAAATATCGATTATTAATGATAGATATTCATTTGATCCGCGAAAATCGACACAAAATCCACCACAAATCGCGAAACCTTGAAAAACGATACGTAAATAGCGTGCATATAACCTTGCCCAGATGTTCATTATGCTTGCGGCATTTACTGGAGATCAATTCGTTAAATTTCCATTATACCGATAAAAATACAAATATTATTTAGAATACGCAAAGATAGTAGAAAGTAAAAATAACCCAGCTGATAAAAGCATTATAAGTAACAATGATATTAAATATGTATATTCTTGTGTCATTGTACAACATTTACCGTCACCCAAACCGTACCAATAAAAATTGGATGCAGTCTCTACCGCGATAAACTGTCGTTTTACCGGCACAGGCTTTGCGTAACCTCTATATTAAAACGCTATTGCTATGGGGTTTCGTTAAAAAGCCACAAGGCTGTCGTCGTGCCTCTCCTCTAACTATTTCGACATCGCATCGACGACCGTGGCTTCAATGGAATTGCCTATTTTCGGTTTTGTGCAGCCAATATCAATAGAATTAATTTATGGTGAATAAATTGCACGGTTTATGTAATGGAATTATTAGAGAAAGGATTCGGCCCGAGCGATTTAAATAATCATGTCGCAATTCGCTTCGACGAGTACCTACAATTATGCGAGTTTTTTTTTTTTGTGATAGGAGAAATCGAAATTTAACGTGATGACATTACGGCTTCATCGAGTTGAATGATAAGAAGTAGCCAGAAAGATTATTCCAAGAGGAAACATTTGAAAGAGACGCTCTAAAAAGAAGTATATTGTACTGCTATGCTAAAATTTGCAATTTTTACACGAATGGAGATGACTTTGAAACTGGTTAATAACTGCAACATATGCTAAACAAGTTAGTAGGCGATAATCAGCTGTTTTACCTTTTGTGCACCGAAAATACAATGAAGGACGCCGCGCAGATGACGACGGGCAGGATGAAATAGAAACGCTATATGACGGTCGGTATCAAATATTTCTTGTGGGACATCTTTACTGCTACATACACAGCGATACGAGGAACGCTTAGACCGAAAAAGAGTACAAAAAAATAACCCTCGTTTGCCGCCGTAGTGTTCTCGGTCGTCAACCTGCGAACCGAACACGTTGGAATTTCCGTTTTGTTGGGTAAACAGCTGCCCCGCGTAGGGCCCTTAATTTTTCTAGAAAATATGAAATTGTGTTAACACGGTAGCATCTATATTCATTACTGCACTTATTATCATAAATAGGTAGATAAGTGCTTACCTTCGGGTCTATTCGAAATAAAATAACCGACGACTGCTGTAAGTATACACCTTGTATATCATCACACTCTCCGAGTATGGAATCCACACGGTGGATTCGTCGAAAAGAGAACAAAACAAAGTTACCCTTGGCCATCAGCACTGCCTACTATTCCAGGTCATCAACCCACGGGCAGACTCGTTGGGATGAATCCGCGCAAAAGTCACCGACCGGCGAGCTTTAGACTTCGACGTCAACAGTCTTATATAGAGCTGAATGCA